TCGCTCCTTGTTTTCACCCAACTGGTCCCTGTTTCCAAAACAGCTTGTTTCTGCCCACCCAGAATCGACTCTCACAAGGGGCCTCCGTGACCCCCCAGTCCAAAGCATACCCAAACATGAATCCCCTCTCCAACATGGCTTCCCAGTATGTGCCTTTGCTTGCGGACCCCAGAGAGAAGCCCACTCCCTTCCGAGGCAGCCCATTGTTGGACAGCTCCTTTTATACAATATATTCCTTTTAAACTCATTTCTTTCAAGTTCTGCCCATTTCTCCTACTAATGCCCTCTTTAACCAAGCCGAGTAAGTCTAAACTTTCTTGCATATGTCAACACTGAAGACATTTGAAGACTGTAAGGATATCGTATCCCAGTCTTATCTTCTACAAGCTAAAGATCTCCCCAGTTCCTTCTTCTAGTCCTTGTATTTCACGGTCTCCAGGACCCCCCAACACACACACACACACACCCACCAGCCTAGGCGTCGTCTTCCTGATCATCTCCTGCTTTGCCAGTATCCCTCCTCACACTGTGTGGCACAGGCAGTCTGACCCTGGCAGCGTACGGCCAGACGCACATCCATAGTGATAGCAACAGTCAGCAATGCTGTGCCTTTCTTAATAGCACCTGAGATGGTGTCAGCTTCCCTGGCAGGGCCCAAGCTGCACCAGGGCCTTGGTCTGTGGTGGCAGACCGATGGCTCGCATCCACGCCGCAGTTCAGCTCTCGACTTTCCAAGACTCTTTCCTGGTTTGCTCTTGGCCTTCTCTGTCCGTATTTTACCATCTTGGCTGCCTGCTTCCCGTCTCTCCTGTCTCTGCTTGACGGCTCATCCCCTGGGGGCAAGGCCTGTGTCTTCTGTTCGCTCATCCCATAGCACCTAGCTCACTGCCAGGAACCTTGTGGGTGCCCAGTAAATTTTAATTGAATGATTTATTGAATGAAATCATTAATAACACTGCAGTTGACTGACTTGTCTTAGCAGCAACTTCCATTTCCCAAAAACGCTGGCACAGGGTGGTGCCCTTCAACTTGACAAATACAGATTTCAGTGGAATGCATCATAGAGGCAATTGTGGGGAGGCTCCTTGAAGCAACTATTTGATTCAAGTTGAAAACTTTGCTGGAAAGTTGTTTAGCTGGCCTTAAAAATAGTGAGCCTTCAGCAGCTGGCACCTGCGTGCTCCTGTCCCTTCATTGTCAGGCCGTCAATGTGGCGGCTCCCAAGCTGATGGATCATCGTTCTTGTATGTTATATGCAAGACACGTAGCATGTTTTCGTGATTTTGCCCTCTAGAGTGATGAGAATAGCTTTTCTGTGGCAATGTGGCTTTACTTCATGAGCTTGAAAGTTTAATTTTGTGATGGCACTGTCATGCGGTGAGTCATTTGAGGGCCCCCACCTTCCCTCCCCAACTTCCACTCTCATTGTCAGTGTTCAGGGTGATCGTTCCAACGTTCTGCTGCTTATCTGACCAAGAGACACCATGGAGTTAGGAAATCGTCCCCAAAATAGCTTCATTTCACCAGGCGTTTTTGCAAGTTGGCACAGCCTCTACAGCCCAGCCTAAAAGCAGTATTTGATTTCAAAGCACGTCTAATGAGGTGTACGCCTGATCACAAGGAATAGATTCTCCCATTCACGTTAGTGGTGTGATAAGGCTGCCTGGAGTCAAAAGGGCCTGAGAAGCATCCAGACGGAGGGAGGGAGGGAGGAAGGGAGGGAGGGAGGGAGGGAGAAAGAAGGGGAAGGAGGGTCAGGCATGTGCCAGGCACTGTACTAAGCCTTTTACAGATCTCATTTGAGCCTCACAATAACCCTGGGAAGTAGTGCTCTTATCCCCATTTGACAGTTGAAGAAACTGAGGCAGGCAGAGGTTAAGTGATCTGCCCAGGATCACATAGTGAGTGAGTGTCTGAGTCTAGATTTAAACTCAGGCCTTCCTGCTGCCAGATGCAGTGCTCTGTCCAGTGTGTCCTGCAACGGGCAGCAGAGGTGATTGGTTAGGGACAATCAGAGCACAGTTCTTTCCCAATTATGTACAGTTGTGAAAGGCTGGAGAACAGATGTGCTATCAGACACATTCATCTTGTTTCTGAGGCTGCTGGGGGGCCCCATAGTTCACAGAGTGCTGGGACTAGAGTCAGGAAGGCTGGAGTTCAAATCCAGCCACAGACGCCTACCAACTGTGTGGCCTTGGACAAGTCACTTAACCCCCTGCCTGCCTCAGTTTCCTCACCTATAAAATGGGGGTAACAGTAGCACCTGCCTCCCAGGGTTGTTGTGAGGTTCACAGGAGGTGATGTTTGTTGGCTTTGCCAGCCTTGACATTTTCTGTTCCCCAGACACAGCGTTACTTTATCACATCAGGCATCCCAGGAGTGTGGCTGTTTTCTCCACCAATGCAGATTGCAGCCCCTCCAGGGCTTCCTTAGAAAAAGAGATCCTTGCAGAGAGGGAAGCCTCTGTCCCTATCTCGACACTGACGTTCTTCAGATCAGTTTCCATCAGAAGTTTGTATCTTCCAACTTTTTAACCTTTCCTTGCGATAATACCCATTTTACTGATTGACGGATCCCTGAAACAGTTTCCATTATATTTGAGCTTCTCTGAGATTGCTTACTTAACAACAAGTCAGCAGTTACTTACCGAGCACACAGATTCAGTGCTAGATGCTATGGAGAGGAGGGTAACATAGAAACCGGGACGCTATTCCTGCCTTCCCAGCAGTAGAATCTTCTTAGAAAGACCAGCCTTGGGCATAGAGGAGATAAGATAATTATGTGAGACAAAAGACAGCCAAGTAATGGGCTGTGTGGTTCTGACCCTAAGGGTCTGAGGAGCTTAGCACAGGAATCAGTTATCAACAAGCATTTCTTATGTGCCAGCTGTGTATCAGACATTGTGCTGGTGCACACACCCATCTGAAGATACAGAACAATAATTAAATGACCCGTGCCCTAGAGGAGCCCACTTTCTGTAGACTAAACTATTTAGATTGGCACTCAAGGTCCTCCCCAATTCAGCTCCACCTGCTTTGTGGAAGTGGAGACTCTGTAAGGAATCTAGAAAGTATGGTCTAATTGTGGGATCCTGGGGCTCCAAGCTTCATTGTCCAGCCCAAGGCCAACCTCCTCCATGAAGCCTTCCCTAAATGTATTGGCTCACACTGAATTCTCCCTTCTTGGAAGACCTGTTACACTGAAACTCTGAATTCCACAATTTAGCTCTGGTGGTCCTTGCTCTGTTATTTCATAGGTGAGAAATTTTCACCCCAAAGCAGAGCCCCATCACTGAATGGGTGAATGGATGGATGGATGGATGGATGGATGGATGGATGGATAGATAGATAGATAGATAGATAGATAGATAGATAGATAGATAGATAGATAGATACATACATAGATAGATAGATACATACATAGATAGATAGATAGATAGATAGATAGATAGATAGATAGATAGATAGATAGATGAATGGATGGATGGGTGGGTGGGTGGGTGTTGGGTGGATGGATGGATGAGTGCCAAGCATTGTGCTAGAATAGGGGCCTGGGATACAGAGACAAATAGGAAGGAAGGTTCCTTGCAGTTCCTAAAGCTTATTCAGGCTCACACTTCCCTAAGACTTTGGAGACCCTCCAATAGAGTATACACAAGACCCATACACAGTGGCCAATGAGAGGTCCAGGCGGGGCCTCACGTAGACGGAAGGCCTGGGTCTCTGATTGAAGAGCATTGGACTGGGAAGACAGGGCACATGAGAAAAGCCCTTCTCCCTGGGCTTTGGCTTCCTTGTCTGAGAAATGAAGCAGTTGGGCCTGACAACCCTGCGAGCTCTCTGCTACATCTGAGCCTGGGAGCCTTTGATCTCAAGATGGTCAGCAGCTTTTCCAGCATCTTCTCATGCCCTCCCTGTGAGGTGGGAATAGTACAGCTATAATTCTCATTTTGCAGATGAGGAAACTGAGTCCTAGAGATTTTCAGTACCAGACCACCCTGATAGGAAGGGGTAGGGCTAGGATTTGAAACCAGGCCCCAACACCAGATGCAGCCCTGGGCCAGAAATTGGGGCTGTTCCTGCAGGAAGGCCAACATCAGGACTCCGCTTCTGGTTCCTCCACCCCCTGTGCTCAGGCAGTGCAGGCACTTCTTCCTCTGTGTTGCTCTGACGCCTCGTACCTCTCCTCTGCATCCTCTTTCCTTAATTGGACTGTCCTCACAGGGGGGTGGGGGCCTACCCTGGATCAGCCCTCCTGCTCCCATCAGAGAGACTGGCAGGCCCAGCCACGCAATGACTAGACTGTCTCCACCATGTGATGCCCCCTGGTTTCTTTGTTTCTGTCCACAGGCAGGGGCACAAAATGCCTTCACTTCCTTCACCTGCCTACTCAAACCCCTAGGGACCTTCCCAGCAGGGGCTGTCACCTAGGATGTCCAATGAGGTCAAGGTTTCGGAGGACTGAGGAAGCCCTTTTCCATGGTTCTCCCCAGATCCAGAGTCGTTTCCTCCCAGTGAACCAAAATTAGGGTGCCCCACCAGTTCCTTTGTGTGTCAGGCATGCTTCACTCACTTTAACTGGGCAGTGGCTGCTGTCTGTCTCCCTCTGCCTGCCCCCCTCCCGTCCTCTCTCCCTCTCCCTTACTGGGGGTCTCTGTGCCCATCATGTTATATACCTGCCCTAAAGTGTTGTTAACAGGATACTTTAAAAATAAAAGGGAATCTGAGAGCGATGGCCCACAGCTAAGACAGGGGAGAGCCCTTGTTCCGGGGTGCTTACGGTGCAGATGGGGGAAGTCCCCGCAGAGGCACAGTTCGCAGCCCCCATCACCTACCCCATCACCGCAGCTCTGGTGAAGGTTTCACTCGCCGGTTTTGACTCTGGCTGCAAACTCGGAGAATCCAGGCTCTTGGCTGTGGCTGCCGGCCCCGGAGCTTGGGCACTGACCAGGCCTTGCCTTACTGCTCACTAAAGTGCTTCCCCCTCTCGCTTCTCCCTAGGGCCGACGAAATTGAAATGATCATGACCGACCTTGAAAGAGCAAATCAGGTAAGACTCTTAATGGGTTTGAGGGGTATGAGCTCAGGGCCTCCCTTTTGGGCAGCAGGGGAGGGGGGCCTGGTGGCACCTTGGGGGCGTTTCTCTCACTCCAAGGTGAAGGGGCAGTCGTTCTAGGCTCCTCTGTGTCCAGCAGCCCTGTTAGACCCTTGACATGCCTTTTGATGTTCTCAGTATAAAAATACAAGAAAAATCCTGGAAATTTTTCTTCCCCCAACAGAGTCCTTTGTCTGCTCCCAGCAACGCTGGCCTCCAGGAGTGAATCTTACCTACAAAGAGGCTTCTTCTCTTTGTTGAATGTTCTCTCCCTCATAATCCAGAGCTAGAGTCGCAGCCCACACACTATTCAGTGTTGCGTCCTGGTAGCGAATGAGAAATTTGACACTTTGTGATTGGGTGGAGGATGCTTGTTTGTGGGCTGGCTGGGCCCCCTCATGCTCTGCTCAGCTGTGAAATACTCCACAAGTAATGACCACCTATAGGCAGTTCACCCAACCTCTATCTGCTCACCTGTCCCTGAAGTGGACCTCAGCTGTCTGGAGCACGGCCGAGAATTAGGAAGAAAGCGCAAAGGGTGTCTGAGCCACGTCACTAAGTCAAGTTCATGGAATTTAACCTATAGTTTTTAGGAACCAACATTAGTTAAGAGCTGTGGTTGGCCCTGGGCCTACGAGAGAGCCCGTGTGTGTGTGTGTGTGTGTGTGTGTAAATAAGTAAAGCGCTATCCTCAGCCAACATTCATAAGTGTTCCCCATGTGCCAGACACCACACTAGGGATTGGGAATACAGAGACAAATGAACTAGTCCCTGCCCCCAGAAAGCTTTTATTCTCCACATGGAGATGCCCCGTGCATTCGTGACGACAATAGAATTTACATTTATGAGGCACTTTGAGGCATGCGCAGAACTTTACCCACATTCTTTCATTTGAGCCTCCCAGGGACCTTCCGAGGTAGGGGCTTCTGTTACCCCCATTTTACGGATGGGAGAACTGAGGTAGGCAGAGATTAAGTGACTTCCCCAGGGTCGCAGAGCTAACGGTCTGAGGTAGGATCTGAATGAGGATCTTGTCCCGGAGTCCAGCAGGTCATCCGGGAGACAGGTAGGCCCTGACAGATAAGGATTGGGAGTGCCCAGAGAAAACAAAGAAGGGAAAGACAGCCCTCCAAGAACCTCCCTTAATGCTTATGGACTCTGTGTACAGTGTTAACAGGTCAAAATAGATTAGGGTAAAGGCAGTAAAGCTGCCTTGTTGCAGGAGAGCAATGAAGGGTGACAGCTGTCAGCCTGGCTGCCAGCGAGGAGAGAGTGGGAACAGCCACATGGGGCAGTAGAGAGATGTATGGACCTGGGTGCGAATCCTGCCTCAGATGCCTAGAAGCTGCGTGGCTATACCCAAGGCCAAACCTCTCTGGGCCTCCATTTCCTCCTCTGTAAAATGAGAGCTGGACTTAGTGACCTCAGCTTTCTTCCAGTTCTCAGTCTGATCCTGTGTGATTAAAGAATTATGAAAAGCAGAAAAATGAACTTAGAAAACACATTGGCAAGGGGACAGTTGGCCCAGGGACACACAGCCTGCATATCAGTGGGGACTGAGGCATGCTTTGTTATTTACATGTGTGTATATACACGCATGTGTGTACACACATACATGTTACATGTGTATAAATATTTATATGTGCATTGTGCATTTTATGTGTGTTATTTATATGATAAAGATACAGTATATAGCATGATTGTTGACTATTAAATATTCATATGAATGACTGATTCGTCAGAAAGAGGTTAAATTATAGTCCATATCCTTTGATTAAGAAGAAAGAAAAGTATCATAATTTTTAAAAAGATTTTTGCCTAAAATCTTTTTAAAATTTTCCCTAAAGTCCCAGAGAATTATAGTTTTATCACAAACACTCTAAGGTAGAGATTCTTCCTTCATTTGCATCATGGGCCATCTGGTAAAGCCTAAGAGCGACTTCTAGAATCATGGTTTTAAATGTGTAAAATTAAATACGTAGGATTACAAAGCAAGCCAATTATGTTGACATACAGTTGACAAAATATTTTTTTAAAAACAAGTTCATGGACCCCACCCCCACCCCCGCCACAGGCTTTATATCCTCTTGCTAACAGGGGATCAAGTCTCAGAAATAATCTGACCCTGCTTAAATAATGAGCGTTGGGTAGCCCAGGCCTGACCGATGGTCCTCCAGCCTCTGCTTGGATACCTGCTAACTCCTGACACCTCCGTTCCCTTTTGTCATTGGCTCTCCAGTAGGGAGGCCTCCTCTCCATGGGGTGAACTTCACCTCCCTATATCTTCTAGCAGCTGGTCCTAGTTTCTGCCCCTCCAGGGCCAAATGACAACCCTCATGTCCCCAAACCAAGTATCAAAACCCTTACAAGTTTCTCTTGAAGACCTCCACCCAAGCTGGGCTTTGCCTCTGCAGCTAATGCAGCTGTTTAAAAACGAAAATTGGCACCGACTCTTTCTTTTGCTCTTTTTGAGGGAAGAGGAACCCAAGGCTGTAATGAGTATGTTTGCCCGTGAAAGCTCAGTTCCAGTACAGCATGGGCTGTGGCTTCTCTCCACCCAGTTTTACAGCTGGGTGGCCTCCATCAGAGGGAGGGTAAATGGTTTGCCTGGACTTGTGCTGAACCTGGTGATGTTAAAATCCATCCTTTAGCTCCCAAATCACTGCTCCGTGCTGTGGCCCCTCCGTGGGACCTCGCCTGCCGTGTGTACATGGCATAAGGTATCCAACTCCCCCAGTAGCCTACGCACTCAGCGCATAGAGTGTACCCTTTATGACAATGGGGGCCAAGAAAAAAAGAAATTCAATGGAATTCAATTATTCTAATAGTCATTATTTGCCTGACTTTTGTTTATTGGGGAGAAGGAGGAGAAATAGGTCAGGAGGACTTTGTCGCTAAAATTTTGGCTGTCTAGAAGCCCCGGTACCTGGCACCGAGAAAGGACTGAATGATTGCTCATTCATTCATTTATTTACCACCAGTAATGATTTTCAAGGCTTTGGCTATTTAGATATGGTAGGAGAAAAGTCTTGGTATGTTTCTCTTTCTTTCAAGAATGGTCATATTAGGCCTTAATTCCACTGTTAAATAATTATATGGTAACCTAGGTCTTCTTAATCACAGATCTACACCCTTGATGCATAGGTTGACTGCTCTGAAATCATGGTTGTCCTGGGTTTCCCAAAAGCATGTATCCATCAGGAGCCACCTGCTGGGTGCCAGGCATGGTGCACAGGGCTGGAGATGCACAGCCAGAATGAAGCAGCCGCCTAATTTACAGGACCTCTTCCTTCACGTGGTGCCTGGTCCTTTTTACCGGACCGTAGGCTGTGCCTTTGGAACCACGCGGCTCCGTTGGGCCAGGGACTCCTAACCTGGGCTCTGTGAACTTGTGTTCTGCTGTTTTGATAACCATTGCAATAGACTGGGTTTCCTTTGTAATCTCCGTATTTTGTGCATTTAACCCTTATTCTGAGCAGAGACCCATAAACTTCACCAGGTTGCCCATGCTCCAAAGGAGGGGAAGGACCCTGCATAGAGAACAGAAGCGTCTGGAGGGCAAGAAACTAGGGTAGTTTTTTCTTCGTATTCCCAACCCCAACCACTGCTCTGGACACATAGGCCAGGATAGATATTTGGTGAATTAAATTAAATGTTTGAAAAAGGAGCCCATTTGTTTTGTAGGCAGGAGTTCTGCCAGTTGAATTATAGTCAAATGACATGTGATTTTGTAACACCAGACCAGCTTTCCAGACTATTTTGATGACTCTACTGAATAAGCTGGCGTTGCCTTGACCATTTTATATACAGTGAGGCCACCACCCTGGGCACCGTGCCACTCTTTGGCCCCAAGCGTGTTCTGAAAGGTAACTGAGCTATCTGAAGTCACCTGCGGCCTTCCCAGAAGATGGCACCAGACGGGGAGTTCACAGGTGATGTCAGGGAACATGCTGGTTGATCTAAAATGACATTGCTCGTCATGTGAAGACTTGAGAGAGGAATTTATAAGACAGACAAAAGTCCTGACTAGTTGAAAGAATAATTGAGGGGGAGAAGTCCTGGGGGATTGTAGAGACATGATAGAAGTACAACTGGGAGGCCGTTCAAGGCAATCCATCGCCACTGCAGTGAAGCTTTGGGCCATTTCCCCTATTCTGAAGCTGATGTGGCACAAGCTGCCTTTTCTGCTGAGCCTTTGGTCCCCCAGGAGACCCCAGACGACAGGAGTGTGTGTGACGGAGGGGGCGATATCGAGAGAGAGCAGTCAGCCAGCCCACGCAGCACGTGCTGTCCGTGCACTTAGATTGTTTCCTCCATCCGAAGAAACCCCAGAAGGAGCAATTTAATAGATCATTGGCATATCGCGTCATTTTTGCATGAGATGCATAGTCAGAATGTCCTTTTGAGAGCCGTAGCTGCATTCTATCACCGTCATGGTACTGCTTCCATTGTGGAATAACAGAGGACTTGTCAGCAGCATCAGTTAAGTGTGCGTCTCATTTACACCTGTTTGTTAAACCAGAGAGTTCTTGCTTTAATACCCGCTATTGTAATTGGGAGCAATAAAGATTCTGGACTTTCAAGTCAGTGTGATAAATAAGAAAAAACAACTTTGTGCTTTAAAATCATATCAAGTCCTGCCTTGGGACTCAAGAAGCTCACTAATATTTGAGGTTGGTGTTGGCTTCTGCTTGGGGTGCTGAGCTCTGAGCACTTGGACTCTGTTAGCTTGCTTTGCGTTGTCTCCACCCCCCCCCCAACGCAGACGGCATCACCAGCCCTCAGAGGAGTGGGCCAAGCGGGACCAGAGCCACCGAGAGGGGTCAGGAGGAAGGCAGGTGAATAAGCTTGTTCAATTTTGCAGCGTGCTGGAGATCAGGATTCCCTCCAGAGATCAGCGTGGAGACTTTATTTCAAAGCGAGTGAAGCTGAGCGAAGCAGGCCAAGGGGCCTCCAGACACACCTCCTGGTGGGGAGCCTGTGGAAGGGAACATTGGAGCCAAGGCCCAGTGTCCCATGCTCAGCACCTCCTGGCTGCCCCCTTCTCGGGCAGCTTTCTGTCCCATTGTTCTGCTTATGGGTAACACGGAGGCAGCAGGCTGTAGCGGCTTGGGAGCCAGCCCAAAGTCCAGAAGACTTTCAGTGCCTGCCTCTGAGACAGGCCCAGTGACTGTGGGCAGATCACTTCCCTTGAAGGGTCCAGGCACATCCCGAAGGTTATCCGGACATAGCAGGTCCCCATCTATATTGGTAGAGGGCGTTCCATGTACAGTGAGCAGGACCTTGACAGTGCACTGTGGCTGAGGACTAAACACATATTTTTAGGGGGATGAATGAACGGAAAACTTCTTAGCCTAAGGCAGCAGAAGGGAGTGGGAGAGAGTGTGCGTGTGTGGCACCTGCCATGTGCCAGGCACCGTGCTGAGTACTTCACGACGATTATTTCATTTGATCCTCCCTACAACCCTGGAAGGGAGGTGCTATCTTCCCCATTTTACAGATGGGGAAATTGAGGCACACAGAGGTGATGTGACTTATCCAGGATCACACAGCTAGAATGTGTCTGAGGCCGATTTTGTACTCGGGCCTGGAGCTCTGTCCACTGCCCCTTCTAGCTGGATACAAAACAAAAAGCAAAGAAAGGCTTTTGCCCTGGAGGAACTTACACTCTAATGGATGTCCATTCTAATGGACACATGTGGAGTAGCAGTGGCCAGGGCTGGGTGTTTTGGCTTGGAAAGTTGGCTGTTTGAAGAGGTGGTCAGGCACTAGATAGGGAAAGGGGATGGTGACAGAGCAGTAGTGACTTATCTGTGACTGTGGGGAACCACCTGCTCTCCCAGGATGAGTGGCGAAGCTAGCATGGCTCACGGACCTCTCTCTTCCCAGGAGAGTGATTGCTATTAAGAGCTGACAGTTTTGGGGAGAGGACAGTGCATCTGTGTGAGGAACTTCCAGTGTGTAAAGTCCATCCACCTCACCAGATCAGCCACTAGGTCATTTAATGAGAGTCACTGGGGCCACTTCCACTCAACCTACACCAGTCTCCTTAGGTGCCTGCCCTGATTCCTCCTCAAAGAAATCAGTGGCTGCCACAACAGCAGAACATCATGGTGGAGAGCTCTCCTCGGATCCATGAACCCAGTTCGTTAATATTTTGATAACTGTGTTTCAAGATACACCTGAAAATAGCAGAGAGGATATCAAGCCTTCGCTGAAAGCTAAGTGGAGCAAAGACAACACTGTAAAGCAAAGTATGGCAGGTGTGGCCGTGGATGGTGAATAAGTCAACGCAAGGAGGGTTCTAGACCAAGGAGGTAGAACCGCTGAGTAACCAAAGAGCCATATCCAAAGAGACTAGAGCACTGGACCTGGATTCAGGAAGACCCGAGTTCAAATTATTGTTTGACTATGTTATTGACTATGAGACCCTGGGCAAGTCACTCAACATCTCAAAAGCAAGGGTTTCCCATACTGTTTGACCCATGCCCCACTATGGCGATTCTAACCAAAGGATTAGTTGGTTTTTTCCTAACATTTATCCTGTCTCTATAAAAAACGATTCATCATCTATTTATTTGTACTGGTGAAAAGAGGCGAGGCAACCCCATACATCCAACAGTTAAGAAGTGGCTGAAAGATCAGGGCATATCCATATATTGTAATGTTATTATGCCATTGAAATTACAGATTCATAAAGAGGAAGGAATATGGAATAATGCAAATGGTAGAACTGAAGAGGAAAAATAGCATAGATACGTAATGGTTGTGTAAGTACAGTAGTAACAAGAAGTTACACCATGAGCAGAAGGACGGAGAACTACCAGAAAGGAACATACAATTGATACGTTATTAGTAGTAGTAGTAGTAGTGGCTCATTAAAGTCTGTTTTTATTGTAAATATTTCTAATTCTGTGATTATATTGAGAGTGGGTTATTTCTTTTACTTAATTTTTGTTGAGGTTGTTAACTTCATAATAAAAAATATTAATTTTTAAGTAAAGACACCTACAGTGTCTGTCCAACAAGATCCAAGCTACCTCTTTTCCAGGGTTCCAAAATCTAAAATCATCCCAGAGTTGAAAGGAGTTTAGCTGGATTGTCGTTCTGCCATTCTAGACAAATACAATGTCATTGTTGAACTTTGACATCAGAAAGTTGAGGAAGTCTTGAAGCAAGTTACGCTGAATTAACCGAGTCCAATCAAATGTGATAAAAAGATATGGCTGCCAAAGAAGAACCGCCTTGGAGAGGAGGAGCATAAAATTGATGATCATCCTTTGCTCATTGCAGAGGCAGCCCTTCATGAATCCAACATGGTAGCCATGTTGTTACTGCTCTAAAGAAATCCAGCACCAGCTTTTTTTCTTTTTGGAAGGAAAGGTCAGTGCCATGGTTATAACCTCTTGGTTGGTTCCATGATGGCTTCTTTTCTAGGCAGGATAGTATTTTCACAGCCAACAAAAGAACTAATGTCAAAATACTCATATTTTCATGGCAGCCTGGTAGGGATTTTGCTCCAAAGGATTTAGCTAAATCAGAAGGGGAAAATTTTCTGAGTGATGAAGTGATTATCAAAATCATTTTGAATGCTGAATCAGAAAGAAACTTGGAATAATGTTTCATGATAAATAAAAGAGTTTGCAGGGTTAATAATTTAGGAATTGACATCAATGAGAGAGAATTCCACCTTCCCAGGTGTGCTGCTTACTAGCCTTTCTTTGTGGGGGCTTCGTCAGAACCCCACTTTCCACCTTAAGCCATCCTCTCCAGTGTCTGTTTAGCCTTCTCCGTGGCAAGGCGTACTGTGAAATTGTGTTTAATATGATTCACAAGATTACAACAGATGTGTGAAATCAGCTAGGGAAAATATGCGCGAAGGAAGGGCAGCTGACAACATACAGTATATGCAGATGTAACATCTATTAGAAATATCCTCTGTGGTTTGTTTGCATGCAGAGTGAATAGAATCTCAAAACAATGCTGCTCTGAATGGAAGCCATCAGCAAAATTGCTTAAGGCTGCAAAACCCATTACTTATACAACACTGGATTCAACAGAAAGTATCATGGCATACCAACTTTTTTGTTCTGTTTTTCCTTGGGTACTTAAAATTATTGGCTAAATGTTTTTATACAGATGAAGAAAAAATAATAAATATCCTAGTGAGTTTAAGCATACTTCTTCCTTGTGCATATTTTCTAGTAGCTGAAAGCGAGTCTAAATAAACCTCGTCTAGGAAGGAATATTCTCAGTGAGGCTATGGACAGGGTTATGCTCCAAATGATGCTCAGTGCTCTTTCAGTAGCCGTTGAAAAATAGAGGCCTAAAAACTCAGTAATTGGGGGATGAGTGAAGGGGAGTTTGCTAAATTATTAGACTAGGAAATTAGAGTAGCCAGATGGTACTCTGCCCTCTTGTGATCGGCAGAAGTGCTTTGCTGTTATGATCTCTCTGGGTCCGTTCTTCCTTTGTGGACCTCAAAAATGAATTCTTGGTTGCGTGGGGAATGCAGAATCTCTTGTTGTCTCTCCTTCCTGCCTTTTCTCGGAATATCTCTCCTCCTTCCCCCCCTTGCCTCTCCCTAGTGTCCATGTTTCTTCCCTTCCTCCTCCCCACCCCCCTTCACTTTTTAAGCTGGCGCAGGACTTGCCTGTTTCTAGCTGTGCAATGTTGGGAGTCGGTGTGAGGCTAAGGGTTAACCATGCCGAGCAAACCCTTGCTCTCACAGGAGGAGCCGCATTTACGCTCTTCGCGTTAATGGAAATACTTTCAGAAGACAAACAGCACCGACATTGTGCGTGTTTTTCGGGGGAGAATGGCCAGAGTGTCTGTAATTCACTGTTTACCCATGAGAATTACTCCCAAGAGTAAGCCTGCAATAAAATCTTCTTGGTCTATGAGAAGAGAAAGAAATTGAATCAAAAGACTCCATTTCCACTTGTATTTATTCAGTCTGGGAAATTCAGTGGGCCGCAGCATTAGTATCAGCAGGGGATTCCTTGCTCCTAGCGTTAAATTACTGTCATAATCGCTCAATTATTTCTTCCTTGTACTGTTTAAAATAAAAATCCATCACATTCTATGTTTTTTTTTCTAGCATTTATTAGGTTGAGTGTTTAGGAAAATCAATTATAGTCAGTCAGGCATGAACTGATGAATGTTCCTGTAATAATTGTCAGTTGTTAAACTGAACGTACTTTCTCTTTCCACCCCTTTTCATTTCCTTCAGAGGGCAGAGGTGGCTCAGAGAGAGGCAGAGACCTTAAGGGAACAACTCTCGTCAGCTAACAAATCTCTCCAGCTCGCCACGCAGATCCAGAAGGCGCCCGATGTGGTGAGAGAATAGAATATTTACTGGCTCTTACAGGTTTCCGACATTCATGCGATTCGATGTCTGCAATTTGTATTTGTGGCTGGGCCGAGGAGGAGTGGGGTGGGGTGACATCTTTCCCCTCCCGATTCTTATTTTGGAATCGATATTTTAAACTGAGAACCAAATTATATTTTCAGGGAACATGACTTTAACCAGTTTACATTACAGGGGGCTGCTTATTGAGTTAGAAGGTCACACCCAAAGGAAAGAAATTCGTTGAGCAGACAAACATTTATCTGCACAGTCCAGAGAGGTAGTAGAAATATAAGATAATATCTTGGTTATGGAAAGTATAAAAGAAAAACAAACACAGAAATCAGCCTTTAGATCTGGCATCTGTTAATGAGATAGTAATATTTGTTTCAGCAAGTCCATAAGATGGAGGCCATGGTGCTGAGGCCTTGTGATAGCTGTAAGAGGGCTGCCATCTTCTGTAGCTGTTAGGGTGGGATGTTTTTAAGCAAACAAGCAAAATTTGGTCATCTTTGTTTTCTCACATTGAATGTGCCCGTCCCCACTGAGAAATAGTTCCTAGTTTGCTAGGCAGACCAGAGATAATAAATAACAACCTTCCCTTATTTTCTCTAGTGGTTTGAGCTGAGGCTGACATATACAGCTTCTTCAGAAGCGGAATCTAAATCTTTGACCTTCCACTTAATCCATTTGTCAATTTCCTGATTTTTCTAGGATTGATTTCTAAATATTTCTAAAATAGCTCTTACCTTGAAATCTGATTCATTTGGGTCTTGACCAAGTTGACTTGAGAAGGTTTGGTTTCACAAATGTGTGAGTTTGTGTGGACCTTCACACTTTTAGGGTCTTAATTTTGGCTAATTCGCTTTCTCCCAAACCACCCACCCTCACAGAAAAAAGGAAGAAAGAAAGAAAAGAAATAAGGACGTTGTCTTCCACACTAAAACAAATAAAATCAGACAAAAGGTCAAGATTGAGTGAGGCCATACAGTGGGAAAGTCACAAGCTCAGGGCTTAGGTCTGCATCCTTGGACGAGACCTTCAGCCTACTATGCCTTGGTTTCCTATTCTGTAGCATGTATGTCTTGAATGAAAAGTTCTTTGAAGTCTCTCCCAGCTCTAAAATTATACGATTAGATTGGGACGCATTGGAGTTGGCCTAATGGGTAAAAGGCTAAATGTAGAATCCAAAAGATCTGAGTTCCAATCCCAGCTCAGGTGCTTGCTAGCTGTGTGACCCAGTACAAACTGTATGACCTCTCTAGGCCTCAGTTTCCTTGTGTACAAAATAAGGGGTGGGGGGGGTCAGACCAAATGGTTTTTGAGGTCCCTGCCAGCCCTAGGTCAGTGATCCTGTGAAAAATAGACTTCATATCTTATTTAATAATGATAATAATTATAATGGAAATTAATAATATTAACTATGGAGATTTTATAACTATAAAATTAACAATAATAATAATAATAATGAACATAGTAATAGCTGGAATGTGTATAATTTTTTAAGGTTTACAAAGGACTTTATGCTATCTCATTTGATACCCTCAGCAACACTATAAGTTTATACCCATTTTATAGCCTCAGGGTTTTTTTTTTGTTTGTTTTTGGGCAGTGGGGTTAAGTGACTTGCCCAGGGTCACACAGCTAGTAAGTGGTATGTGTCTGAGGTCAGATTTGAACTCAGGTCCTCTTGACTCCAGGGCCAGTGCTCCATCCACTGCACCACCTAGCTGCCTCCAGTTTATACCCATTTTACAGAAAAGGAAACTGAGAGTGAGGCAGGTCAAGAGACTTAAGTACAGTCGTGTAGCTAGGTAGCCATCCGCTGGCTGGGTCATCTAGGGCAAGGCCCTTTTAACTCCCCTGTTCTTCTGTGTGGAAAATGAGGCTGATCCCTGCCCCTGCTTCACGGGGCTGTTATCATTTGCCCATCTGGCAGCGGCAGCCGCTGTTCCTGCTGTTCTTCGAGTCATCATTGCCGTACTCCATCATCACGACAGCCTGTATCCTAGACGTTGAAACGTCACCGTGTTAAGATGTGGACTACGTTATGGAACAAGATATCTTTGTGGTTACATCATACCTAGAAAAGTGTCTTTGATATCCTCCTGGGGCATGATTTTCACTGAAATTTGACCCTGTGGCACTGAAAGGAATGGGGAAGTGGAGGCCCAGAATCATATGTATGACTGGTGAGGGGACTAGAACTCAGGTCTTGTGCTCTTGCCGGCCTACCGCTGTCTCTAAACCCAAAGGAGCCCAGCTATCCCAGATTTTGTGTGACGTCCAGTGCTGTGATGATTATTCCTTTCATCCTCTTGACAGATGTTCACTGAGCCCCTCCTGGGTTCCAGGCCCAGGGTGGGAAGGGACAAACAGAAGAGCTCCCTTTCCTCTTCCCTCCTAGAATTGAAGTACCTTGAGGGCAGGGACTGTTTCCAAGGGAGGAGAGAGCCAGAGAACTGGAATTATCTTGCTTTTCTCCTCATATCTCCAGTGTTTTAGCCATAGAAAGCACTTGGTAATTGATAGCATTGATGCTGTCCCACTCAGTGGAAGGTACACAGTAAATGCTTAATAAATGCTTGTTGGTAGATTGGTGATTGGATGGGATTCATGATAGGGAGGTGAAGAGCAAAGGGTTAAATAGAGGAGCAGAAGCTGGTCTGACATTAAACAAAGAGGGAAGACTTGAATTGAGGCTTACTTTCTTGGATGGTTTCAATGGTTTTCTTTCTCTCAGTGATAAAAATAAAAGTTTGATCCTCAGCATTTACTTTCAATTACTTGACTCATCTGACTCTATCCTAGACTTATTTTAAAATTAGGTTTTCCTTTGATTTTTAATAACCCGTTAGCATCTCACATCTCTTGAATAGGAGAAGGAGCCGAGGATAGTATATCAATAGAGCATTCTCTGACGTGCCTGGAGATGTGGCCATCTGTATAGAGGCTGACATGTCGGAGAGCCTGCCCGTGCCCTCCTCATATTTTCATCCAGAACGCACACCGGAGGCAGACAGAGGCCATTCTCCTAGGGATATCCTAAAGATGAGAAAGTGTGCATGCCCTGTCAGTCACTTTGGGGGTCACTACTGCCACCTGTGGTTCTTTCCATGCTCTACTCTTTAGTCCCTGGGGACTTTTTCACTTAGCTGCCTACAGAGCCAGTCAGGGATTACTGTGGTGAGTTGGGTCCAATCGCTCCTTCCACTTTTATCTTTGTAAATGGTGTTTCCATGCCTGTTCTCGCATGTTGGGAGCCAAGGCATTAGTGGCCCGGGTATGTGGCCCCGCTGGCTGCTGTCCGTCCCAGTCCCCATCTCTGTTCCCATCTCCTCAGTTTCATCACTGAGTGCTGTCTGGATGCGCTGCGCGTTTCTCACTGAATCGCTGCTGGCCGTGTTTTCCTCCGCTGCTCTTGGTAGTTCTGTGAGGCAGTGGACATTGACTAAGTGCCTAATGCACGCAAGGCATTGGTTTGCCCTCTCCGGTTATTTCTGAGCCCTTGGCCTCTCTAGCAGCTGTTTTCCATCAGTTCCCTTTCTCTAAGAACTGGTAATAATCAGAGTCTCCATCTGTGCTTTTATCCACTCTTCCCTCACTATTCTCAGCGTTTTGTTTCAGTAGGTTTATTCACCTCCCTGCCATTCTGCCCCTACTGTGCTCCAGCCTCTCTGCTCTCTTCCGCTCAGGCCAGCAAACACACTGTCCTTGATTCATTCCTCACTTATTTGTACCTTTGCTTCTGCAGTTCCTCCTGCCTAAATTGTTGGTTTCTAAATATTCCCCATTTTCCAAGGCCTAGTTTAGGCTCCCAACTCTTTTTTTTTAGGCCATATTTTCAACATTTATTTCTTTTTTTTTTTTCCCATATGCTTTTGAGTTGAAAATTTTTCTCCCTTTTTCTCCCCCCCACCCTGCCCAAGACGGCGCACAATCTGACTTAGGCTTTACATTTACATACCCATTAAACATATTTTCACATTAGTGAAGTTGTAAGTAAAAATCAAAACCAATAGGAGGAACCATCAGAAAAAGGAAACAAAACTCAACAGAAGGTAAAAATAAGTGATAGCGATTCGACTTCCATAGTTCTTTCTTTGGATGTGGACAGCATTTTCCATCCCAAGTAGGCTCCCAACTCTTAAATTAACCTTTCTCTGACTATTCCTGCCCACCCTTTTCTCTGCCTTTTCTGAGATTCTGCCTCCCTTAGTTAATATCACACAGTTTATCCTTTAATTGTTAATATATTGCCTAATGGTTGCATAATTACTTCACTTAAGTTAGATTTGTGTCTGTAAGAAGACTTTAATTCCGTTGAAGGCAGTGACAACAGCTTATATTTCTCCAGCCCTCATGATGCCCAGAGCAGTGCTAAGTATATAGTGGACACTCAACAAATCATTTTTATTTGATCGGCATTCAGTTTTCTGGGTAGCAGCTGAATACTTTGACTCTGGGCAAGTGTATAAACAGTATTTCAGCAGTGCTCCTCACCCAAGAGAAAGTCAACCAAGAAAGAGAGGTGTCAGTTAAAAATCCCTTGGCCATTTTTTATCCTTTAGAACCTTAGAGGAAACAGGTTGCACTGTATTATACAAATGCAAGTAAATAAGTATATATAGCAGAGGTAGCCTCAGATACAACTTTTGAAAATCTAAGAGGAAAAATCCTGAATTTCTCAAGGGAAACACTGGTCAACTACCACCCACTACCAAGCTAAAAACATGATGGCAACCTAATTAACGTATGACATTTCCTGCCTGCCTCCCTCCTTTTCCATCCCAAAGTGAAACTGACTTGTTGAAGGCAGTATTCTCTCTTCCTACTGGCTATTTCTGCAGAGAAGGTTAACTCCCAGAGGTGAACTTTTGGGACTGAGTAAGCCAGCCTCCACACTGCCGTTTCCACACTCTAGTGACAGGCATTACCGCCTCCTGACCAGTTACTATTCTTTGAATATTTTCTACAGCTACTTTTCAGATGATTTGGTAATGGTGATGGTGTTCATTTTTTAAATGTCAATTTATCTGGCTCTAAAAAAAAATTACTGTGTCTCTTCATATGAGAAGCACCCTGAGTTTGCCCCATGCAGGAACCTCTGATCTTTTAGCAAATTTTGGCTCTGATTATGTGCAACTGTGTAAGCTTCATTAGCTTACAAATAGTTCATTTAGAAATGGATCAGGAGGAGTCATTTTGACCTCTTTGAAAGGGCCTTGGATTGCATTCTGATGTGACTGAGGCAGCTAGGCCTGCTGAAACACTGGACCCTAGACTTCCTGCATGACATCAGGCAAGTCACCTCCCCCAAGCCATTGTTCTCACCCGGAAAATGAGGAAAATGGACTAGATCAATCATTGAGTAGATCTATTAAGTGCCTACTCCATGCCAGGCCTTGTGCTAAGTGCTGGGGACACAAAGAAAGGCAAAAAGATTGTCCCTGGCCTCAAGGATCCATTAACTAGCCCACTGGGGCTACAGAGAATGAAATGGTCCCCACTCACAAGGAGGTTCCATTGTATTGAATAATAGCTCAGATCTCTTCCAGCCTGAAGTATTTAGTCAGTAAAATGCTGAGTCTGTTTCTGCCCATCTCTAGATCCCTCAACGTGATCTCTTCTATGGTAATATGGTGGCTCTTCTATCTAGTGGTTCCCCCCCCCCCGCGAGACCAAGGATTGATTCTCCTTCTTAGTTAACCCAATCCCTTGACTAGAGTTATTGCACTTTCCTCATCTGCTTTATTCTTCCTAGGAGCAGGCGATAGAGGTACTGACTCGTTCCAGCTTGGAAGTTGAACTGGCCGCCAAGGAGCGGGAGATCGCCCAGCTTGTAGAAGACGTTCAGCGACTCCAGGCCAGCCTGACAAAGCTCCGAGAGAACTCGGCCAGCCAGATATCCCAGCTTGAGCAGCAGCTGAGTGCCAAGAACAGCACACTCAAAGTAAGGGCCCCTCACGCACCCAGCAGCATGTACTCGTCCCTTAGCAAAACCAGGGATTCTGAGGGATTCATCAGGCTGGACTAGTGGCAAATGAATGGGGCCACTTCCAAACAGTGTAGGCCGAGACCGCGCAGCTTAGACCCATTTGGGAGAGGTTAGTGGTAAATTGATAGAACTAGCTATTGGAAGACTTTCTGGCTTCCCCATCAACTTGATGGATGATCTTAAAAAGTACTCTTGGGGTCCTGGTTGTAGCTTCACTGAAGGTCGGGGGAAAAAAAACAAAGAAAACCCCAAATCATGTTTGTTAAGGGCCCAAATGAACTTTACTAGGAGACTGTCGAAAGGCTCCAACTTAACTCCCCATATCTGGAAAGACACTAGTTAAATTTCACTCCAATTTTAAAGTCTCATGTGTGGACTGTGCTTCATTTGTCTCTGTTGGAGCTTCAGCTTCAGCATGCCTCTGAGAAGATGAACAGATTGAAAACTACAAAGGAAGGAGCAAGGGCATCTGTCATTCAGAGGTGTCTTGGTTACCCCTTCCCGGAAGGTTCTTGTCGGCAAAATCGATGGATTTCTCAAACACGCTTGTGAAAACTTGGAGAGGGGCGTGTGTGGGTGTGGGTGTGGGTGTGGGTGTGTTGGGAGAGGGGTGAGTTCCTTTCGTGAGGCCATTTATTTTTGGTAAGAGGACATTCCATTGAGAAGGGAGCATGGCTGGCCTGGACCTTCTGCAAACTAGCCAGTCCCAAAGCAGTGCATCATGGTCCAGGAGGGGATGAACCTGGTTCGCTTGTAGGGTTTTTCCTTCTTGGTAGGCTATTCAATGTTTGTGATCTGCCTCTCTGCCTGAAAAACATGGTCTGGCATGGGTATAAATCTCTTTTTGCCAATACCCTCTGTTATGTTGTTTTACCATAAGGAACCAGAGTGGGCACATTACCTTCTTCCTGGGCTTTTAGGGCGTGGTTGGGAAAGTGTACAAAGAGAAGCAAGAGGTGCTGGGGGGCAGGGAGGCAACAGGGGCATCAGGGCATTGGGAGATGAGAGGTCCTGTCCTGAGTGGCCCACCAGCACTGACCCTTCCTCCTAGACAGCTCCGTGTAATATTGCGATAGCGCGGTGTGTGACATCCCATGTCGGCCTGTGAACCCCTGGTACTCCCCAGAACCCAGTTGGCCGTGCTGCTGTCCTCGTGGAAGCCCTGCCAGTCAGCCCCCAGAATGCTCTGGGTTTGTCTTGGGTTCACAGCTTGATGATGAGTTCCATGAGACACAGTCAGACACACCTTTTTTATGACACAGTGTTTGCAAAATGACCAAGAGGCCCTGACCTCAAAGCGCTTCTGCAGCAGTTTGAGGAGGGACGGGGCATCGGCCACTTAGGGGATCAGGAAATGCTGCTCACATTCAGCAGTGAGGAGGGAGGGTGCTCCAGGCACGGGTGACAGCCCGGGCAAAGGCATAGACGGAGGCGGAGGTCCTGCTCAAGGGGCAGCGGTAGATGGGTCGGCTCGGCACACGGAGTGTGCGAAGGAAGCTGAATGGCAAAGGCCTTAAATGCCAAGCTGAGGCCTTTGTGTTTGTTCCCAAGGCCCCAGGAGTTTCTCGACCTGGGATTCCCTTGGTCAGATTTGTGTTTCAGGAAGATTCTTTCGGCAGCCCTCGGGAAGGCTGGTTGGAAAGCTGTGGAGGAGTCCCGGCCCTGGGGGTGGGTGGGAGGAGGGAGGATGCAGTGGGGGCTGAGGCACAAGGGAGAATGAGCTCGGGAGACCTCTCCCTCCCCAGCTTATTGAACCAGCAGACCCCCACTCCCGGCCAGAGCTCGGCTTCTCATTCCCTCACTCCCATCCACTTGCCCAGGGAGCGCCCTTGACGCTTGCCCTTCATCGTGGTTGATTTCCAGATTCTATCTAATTTTCTCATGTCGTGGCCATTGTTGACCCTCAGAATTACGCTGTGATTATGTAGTGTGCCTTTCCTGCCTTGTTTCCATGACAGGGCCCAGCTCTGGAACGTTATGTGGGATGCCCCGGGGATGCCCGGGGGGCGGGGGCAATCTAGCCCTTACGTTTTTATTATAGAGCAATTGTTCCCCAATCAGTTAGGATTTTAATGTTTGCCTTCACAAAAAAGTGATGTTCTTTCACCATATCTTGGGGGAATTCTTTAATACTGTGTGGTTAATGAAACAATCCCACACTGTTCCTTCCAAAATTATTGCTCCCTTATCTTCATCTGATCCAATAATCAAAACATGTCCTCTAGTAACAAGACTTCTCTCATTTTAATTATCTTAACCCCTTGTCGCCAGGACTTGAGATGGGCCTGCCAGCAAACCCAAGCACAAAGCGTATTAGTCTTCACTAAATGAATGCACCCAACTCTCTTACCCCAGAGGAGTGGGGTTAATTGAATAAGCTACCTTTTGAAGGTTTTTTGTCCCCAGTGTGTACAATTTGTATTCTTAACTCTGATCCAGGCTAAGAGAGGATGTGATTTTTTATGAATGAGACCTCTCTGATTGGCTTTGGGTGGCTTTGTTCATTAGGGATAGATCAAGGTTCACACAATCCACCACCAAGCTTCATAAAGAGTCAGAAACATGTACCAAACTCTGTGCTGGACAACGGGGAATTTAAAGACAAAAATGAAGCCCTAGTCTTCAAGGAGCTTCCACTCCAGTGAAAGGGCTACAGCTGCACCAAAATAAATATAGCGTGAGGTCATCGGGGGTGAGGAAAGGCTGCCTGTAGGAGAGGGCACATGAGCTAAGCCCTGAAAGGAGCCAAGGATCCTAAGAGGAAGAAGGCACTCGGGCATGAGGGACAGGCCAAGCCGAGGCCCAGAGGCAGCAGATGGTGAGCCTGATTAGAAGAGCCAGCTGGGCTGGAAACGAGAACACATGGAATCAGTCGATAAACGTTCAGCACCTACTGTGTTCCAAGCACTGTGGATACAAAAAGAGGCAGAAAGGTGGTCTCTGCCCTCAAGGAGCTTACCGTGTGACGGGGAGACAACAAACCATAAGAAGGGAAAGCAGGAGCTGATCGTGAGGGAAGGCAGGAGAGCTAAGGGGGGCGGGGAGAGGCTGGAGGCAGAGGGATCCATTGTGGAGAGGCCGGTCAGAGCCAGAGGCTGGAGGCCTGTCCTGTTTTATCTGCAGGCGGCATTGAGCAGCCAGCTTTGGGAAGGCGACTCTAGCAGCAGGGCGGAAAGGAGGGAGGCCAGCAAGGAGGCGGGAGAGAGGGGACGAGGGCAGCCGGAATCATCGGTCTTTGTTCATTTCTTTTGGATGTCTTCTTCCATTCTGGGGGACACCAGCTTCATTTGGTGTGAACTGCTATGAAGTGTGAGGTTGTCCTGACTGTCCCACACCTGGAACCCAGAGCATTTTCGTTGAACGCCTTTGACAGCAGCCTTCGAGACAAAGGCTCTTCTCTTTTGTCACAGTCGCCAGTTGGGGAAAGCGAGCGCCCAGATCAGCTCTGATGTGTAGGACCCTCATTTTTCAGACGTATTACTCTTGGACTCATTGCTTTGGCTTTTGGCTCATTTCTTCACTATTTATTGTTTCATCGTTGTACTTATTTTAGCAAACCGATTTTAATTTCATTTACTTTGATATTATCATAATTAATAATAATAACTCGCCTTTCTTTAGCATTTTAAGGTTCTCAGACTGCTTTGATGGACTTCATTGGACATTGTCATTCCTTCATGACAACCTGGTGTGCAGTAAGGATTAAAGATTGGGCCTGGGCACATCTGCTTTTGTTGGTGTGAGGAGGGTAGTATGGTGTAAGAGATGGGAGTCAGGAGGACCTGGGTTCAAATTCCACTCACTAATTGTAGGACCCTGGACAAGTTGCTCACCTTCTCTGAGCCTCAGTTTCCCTGTCTGCAGAATGGGGTGGGGAGGCTCCTCTGGCCTCTAGCTTGAAATCTCATCCTGTGTCAGTCTTTGAAGGGCAGTGTCCTTGTGGTGAGCGGTCTCCTCTTCCTTTCCTTCCATTCTGCATCATCAGACACTGTGAATGGTCTCTCCCCACACTGAATATTGGTGCCTCTTCTGCACCATTTGTCATACTTTGAAACAACCTTGGAGATGAGTGACACCTTGTCTGAGAAGGAGCCGAGCACAGGAACATTCTATCCTGAGGCCGTCTCTGTATTTGTGTCCAATGAAATGGGCTGAACAGCCATGGAGAGGGTCTGTTTTCAGTATATGGTATCATGTCCTCCAGCCAGCAAGCATTTATTAAGCACCTGCTACGTGCCAGGCACAGTGCCAAGCTCTGAAGATACAAAAAAATGGTGGAAGCCACTTCCTGCCCTCAAGGAGCTTACAGTCCAATGGGGGCGATGACACGTGAACAACTGGACAAAGGTGTCCCTCATTTTATATGATATGCTTATTCCTGAGAAGTTGTGTAGTGGAAAGAAGCCGACTTAGTACCTGTGTGACCTTGGGCGAGTCACTTCCCTTCCTGAGCCTCGGGATGATGTCTAAGCCGCCTTGCGGCTGCAGACCTAGGATTCAGTGCTCCTGAGTTCCATTCTACAGGCTTTAAGCGAGCTCACTCTTCACACTATGTCCATCAGAAGTCCCGGGAAGAGAAGACTCAGCCCAGAAGGCATTTGGCCCCTTGGTCTGCCTTTTCATCAACAGGCAGGTCCCAGCCTTATGAACAGTTTGGTAAAATTGAGGTGATTCCATCAGTCCCGTCAACTCTGAGCTCCTTCTACGTCAAGGAGGCCCTTGTGGGCCAATCTGGGGCCTCAGTCATTATGTAAAACACTCCTTCTTTAGGAAAGTATAATTTCCAAATAAGTGACTCATGGCACCCTTTAGGGAACAGAGCTGTTCATTAGCTGATGTCTGCCCAGGGAGTTTACCTTGAGCAGGTGCGATGCACCGTTATTAGCTTTCACTTGCTTTCTCTTCATTTCCTGCCCTCTCCTCCCCTTCCCCCTTTTCTGATTATTTTTCCTTCC